AAATGTAAATTAAGTACGAGAGAAAGGGGCCAAGTGTAACATTCTCGGAAAGAAAGAACGGAGCTTTTGTTTTTCGTTTGTTTCTTTTTTTGAGAGTATAAAAGAAAGAGGGAGAAAGGAAAAGACGAAGCATGGAGATTACGCAATTGGGGAACGAATGACTCGTGTTATTAAAAATTATCGCACGTGTTCGGGAATAAAGTCAATAGAAGTCAAAGAAGAATATAAAAAATAGCCATTCCCTTTCTCGCTCATAATTATACATACGTCGTAATTATCTCTGTCGCTTGGCCCCTTTCCTCGATCCACGAGTAGACAGATTTTGAATTTCACGAGTTTAGGGGGATGGCTTGACGACTCTTTCTCTCTCCTTGTTTACCGTCCTGTATCTATGCCCGTCTCGTATCAAGGAAAAAGAAATCCGCGCCGGAATCGCCCTGGAGGCGTTGCACGCTCCTTCAGTTTCACTCTAACGTGTCGTGTTTTTGCCTAGTGTGCATATACGCATATATATATAGAGAGAGAAAAATTTTCGGAATAATTTTTCTCCGCTTTAGCATCGTGGCCGGATTACCAGGAGGGAAGGAAAGGGGTGGGGAAGAAAAAGGACGAAATTAAATTCATTTTCGCGGAATAGTCGCCTCGCGCAAAATGGAACAATATTTTCCCTTCGTTTCACCTTTATCCGGCGAAATGGCCGTGAGTTAGACGACACCGAATTTTCCATGGGTGGAGAGAGAGAGGAAGGGTGGGCGCACACATTCCGGCCGTGCGCGCGAGGAACTCTTTCCCTTCTCGCAGTCGAAATCGCTTTAACGGCGGCACCTGGTGTTGAACGATGGGGAGGAGGGAGTGAATTACACAACCTTCACACCCACGCGTGACAACTAGTATCTTTCAGCTTTTTATTAACAGTGATAGTGTGTTTAGCTGTCCAGCTGAAGGATACGGGTAATTACGTTAGCCGGAAAATGAATTCCTTTCGTATTATTTAAGAGGGATAGCATACGTAGGTGGAGATGAAATAGCTTTAAATCTTTAAGTACACAGGAAAGGTAACAAAAATCTAATCTAACGTGTGACAAGCTGATTAATCAAAGAGTTAATGAAACGTCCGAATTTTTGAAATATTAATCTCGACGCTTTGATAATAAAATATCAAGAATAATTGAAACGATTTTCAAAATATCAAATATTAATCGCGACACTTTGGTATAATATAATAAAATTCAAAGATCGAGGAATTTTGAATATTCTCCGATCGAAACAATATTGCTTCGCATCCATCTCCATCTCTACGAATAAATGAACGTTGAGGAGTGAAAAATTTTCAGAAAAGGGCGTTAAAAAGTTGACTTACCCAAGTCGAAGGAGCGGCAGAGCGGCAGGGAGCAGAGAAAAACGAAAACGGCGATGAGAAGGGGTCGCAAAGGATCCTGTCCGGGTCGGAGAAGCGGCATATTGGTGGTGACCTGAGCCATCGGCGAGCCGACAACCTGCTCCTCCTCATCACTAACTGTCGACGATCCTGACCGCATCGGTCATCGAGCACGTTCCTGGCATCGTGATGGCCGAAAGGTGGTGAGTGTTCTCGCCGATAACCTGCGCACAGTATAATCCCTGTTAATCCCTCCGCAGACGCCACGGAAACGTCGTCCCTGGCAGACGGTTGAAACCGGTTCGGCAATACGTGTCCACGTATTGACGTTAATGCGATTTAACGGTGAAAGATGCGAAATTATCATAATATCCGTCCAATTGTACAAATTGGACAAGACGAATTAATTCATGGGTGAATTATTATTAAGAAGGATTAAAAAAAGATTTTTTCATCGATACAAAGTTTTTCATTGCTTTTAAACAATTCGCGCAAATTTTTGGGGAAAGGAGAGTTTGCTTTCGTTTTCGAAAAGTTTAAGGTTTGATTTTGAATTAAAGTTTTGGCGAATATCGTCTCGTGCTTCGCAACCGCGAATAAACGATAGAATTCGATCAGATATTCTTCTGACGTTGGATATATGAACGTTGGTCGAGTTGATATTTGGTTTCCCAGAAATCGCGATCGTTCTTTGAAATAGGAGTATTCTATTCGAATTCACATTGCCTGCATGGAGTAATGAATCCAGCTACTCGTGTCCCGACGAAATTTGATTCAACTCCGTTCGATTTAACGGAACTTAAATGCACTCAAATCCTGAAGAGATTATACCATCGAATTTCGCGTGACATATAGTCCTGCGATACTGGCGCAAGATCAATATTTCATATTGAAATATGTATCCGCAAGTAGAATTCAATGTTAAATAAGACGTCCCCACAATGAATTTGAGTTTCTGTAAATTTACATCGAGATGCAAATATCTATCTATCTGTCTATCTTTGCAAGTATTTTAAAATAGACAAAATAAAATAATTAATCCCAATTCCCCTGTAGAGAACGTCAATAACTTTTGCATATATTTAAAATCAGACAGACATTCAATTCTTTAAGACAAGAATATCTTGGAAATATTTAAAAAAATATTCCCAGCAACGATACGATTTATTAATGAAGATTCGGTATCAAATGTGGTGCAACATTGGATCTCGTTGAGTAAGATGAGATTCAATCGAATTTTATTGGCGTTGAATAAGATCCAATCGACTCCGCATCGAATCGAATCCAATCGCGCTCCATTCGTATCGAATCAGGCCCTACGAGTCGTGTCGTTAACGAAAGCTGTACGGGTCCCTTAATCGGCGAGAACGAGGAACCAAAGGGGTCATTGCGTGCCGACATAAATGACGATATAATATCGCCTTCTAAACTCGTTCGAACGAATTCCATTAAGAATCATATTCGTTTGCGCCGCTTGTTTGAGCCGCGCTCGCTTTGTAATCGCTTCACCAACGATGAAAACAGATCGTGACTTTCCACCCGTACGCGTCGATCGATCCATCCATCCATCGATCAAATATTAAATTCGATTCGAATACGATCGATATTTGTCGTCCTTTTTCACGAACATAACAAAAATTTCCTCATCGAAACCGCGTTAAAATACTCTTACATTCACTCTACGTGATCATAGTCGTTAAAGAAATATCATTTTACAAGGATATTCAACTGCTTTTCTAGAAAGCAATAGGTTTAAAATCGCGGAGAAGGAATAAAAATCCATACGTGGTATTTCGAATGAATAATTCATTAAACTGTAAACCCATTCGTGGCTACGTATAAAATTTTAATCGCAACTTGGTTATTAACGAGATCGTTCTGTTGGGGGAAAAAAAGAAAGAAAGAAAAAAAAATTGTTAAGGGGCCGTGTAACGGCGATCGCTTTACACGAGCGCGAGAGGCTTTACACGATTCGCGCGTGTAAACTATGATGGACGACAACCGCTCGCGTTGCTACATTAACTCCCGGCATATCCTCGCGAACACCCTAACCGTCAGTCCGCCCCGTCCGAATAAAAATTTTCCCTCGGTTCCCTGCCTGTGTTCCAGCGTATTCCTCCGTATGATTTATTCGATACACAAAAGAATTTAATTCCCCGGAACCAGTTTCTGAAATTCTCTTACAGGTGCAGGAACGTTGGACGCTTCACAGACAGATTTCACCGGCGGAATACGAGAAATAAAAATTATTTTCCAACGGTTACACGGTATTATTATATATCGCCTTTGACGAATTTTCTCGTGGAATAATTTTCATCCTTGCATTTCCACATTTCTGTTTTATCTCTTTTTCTTTAATTTATTATTAATGGAAAGTGATCATATATTTATAAAATAACTTTGTTTTATATAAATGTTAGGCGAAAACAATTTGAGAGAAGATTGTTCAAGTAAGATGAAAATTTGGAGAATCGTTCTTTAGTTATCGATAATTAAAAATTAATAAGAATATTCGTGGATGACGAGCAAATTTTTCTTCGAAGGATTTTCCAAAATATATCGTATAACTTATCGTATAACTCCGAAGAAAATGACATTCAACAAGTGAAAGGCCATTAAAAGCACACGACTTTCCTCTTTAAGACGCTTTTTAATTTATCTCTATAGCACTTTCGGTTCCCTTCGGTTATCCTCGTGTAAAGAAAAGGGTAATTTTTTGATCAATTTTCAATATTTCCCTTGTCACTTACTCTCACTCGAATCTTGGCTCAGATTCCTAGAAGAACACATACAATACAGTACAACACTTACAAAAACGCATGAAAGATACGCCTCATTCGAAGAATGACTCGAATTCCCCATTCTCTACATCGCATGAAAAGTTTCATGAGTAAATTTTGAGCAATGACCTATTGTAACACAAAATGACTCGTTACACCACTGCTCGAATTTTGGAAAATTTGCCATTTGCCGAATTCAATTGCTGTTCACATACCGTTAGACGTACACACACGTGCCATTTAATTCTGCTCGTACCCCGACCCTCCCCCTCGCCCTATAGATTCGCTCGCCAAGCGTCCGGGATTCGTTAGGAACTCCTAGTTATTCCGACCGCGTCCTCCCATACAGGAACTTGCCGGTCCGTACACAATTATGTGCACGTATGTAGCAGTCCAAGCAGGTAAAACGGTGGTACGCGCGAAAAGGGGGGGCGTTTCTAAACAATTCGGGCATGGAGGGAAGGGGGAAATAATTAGTGGCGGTGCGACTTTAATCTGGCAACATTATAGCGGTATTAAAACGGTATGTGATGTATTAAAACCCGTGTGTTTACGCAACACGGATTTACCCCGCGCTAATTGAATGCGACTCAAAACTTTTGAGCCTTCGCGTGTTGTAAGTAGAATTAGACTGTTTGTTGTCGCTGGATCTAATTAATCACGTTGCGTTTAATCCCATTTCGTTTCTAACATTTCTATATATATATTTATAGATACAGATATTTGATCGATTGGTCGTGCAATTTTTATCTAGAAATTTTAAGAAATTGTACGAATTCGATATCTTTCATATCCAAGATTAAAATTAGGGTGTTGTAAGTAGAATTTATTGCTGAATCTAATTAATAATCGCGTTTAATCCCATTTCTAATAGATATAAATATTTGACCGATGCTCTGCAATTTTTATTTATAAATTTGAAAATTGTGCGAATTCTATAATATATCTAATTAATAATCCCATCTAATAGATAATAGATGTAAATAATTAATCGATTGTCTTGAAATTTTTATTTAAAAATTCGAAAATTGTACGAACTCTATAATCAATATCCTACCCGAGGAAATTAATTAATTAATTAAAATTAGGATCCGATGAAGAACGAGGATTTCGTGCGTTCATTCATTTGCACGGGGGTGAATTTATGTCGTCTAAATATATATATATATATATATATATA